CCCTAACAGCCCTAAAACCCTAAAACCCTAACCCTAAAAACACTAAACCCTAAAACCCTAAAACCCTAAAAACTAAAAACCCTCAACCCTAAAACATAAAAAAACCCTAAAAACCTTTCAGAACCTAAAACGCCCTTAAAAGACCCTAAAAAAAGCCCTAAACCCTAAAACCTAAACCCCAAAACCCTAAAACCCTAAAACGCCCTTAAAAGACCCTAAAAAGTGGGCCTCGGCGAGCTCGTCGCCCGACAGCGACAGCGGCTCAGCGGCCCAGCGGAGGTCCCGGGCCTCGCCTCGGCCAAGAGAGCCCAACACTTAGTAAGTTAGGGTTTAGGGTTTAGGGTTTAGGGTTTAGGGTTTAGGGTTTAGGGTTTAGGGTTTAGGGTTTAGGGTTTAGGGTTGAGGGCATAGGGTTTAGGGTTTAGGGTTTAGGGTTTAGGGTTCCCAGAGAGCCCCAAATATTTCCGAAAGTAGGGGGGTACCTTCTTTTGGGGTCCTTATAATAAGGATCCTACTATTGAGGGTACTATATTACGGTCCCCTATTTTCTGAAACCCCCATATTCCCAGAGAGCCCAACTTATCCCAAAATATGAGTTCGGTTAGAGTTTAGGGTTTAGGGTTTAGGGTTTAGGGTTTAGGGTTTAGGGTTCAGGGTTTAGGGTTTAGGGGTTTAGGGTTTAGGTCTAGGGGTTTCTGCATAATATGTACCCTGAGATAGCGTAGGGCTCTCAGGAAGTACGGGGATCCCACCGGGACGCTTGATTGCCATCTTGCAGAACGGATGTATCATGGCGATTCCCTAAACCCTAAACCGTCAACGGCGATGCTCCCTGAGCCTAGCATGACAATTACGACGACAACGACAACGACGACCGACGACAAGTACAACTGTGACGACTTGGACGACGACCTGCACCCTACTACTGCTGCTACTGCTTCTGCTAATATAGGGGCCTTAATTATTGGAATAGGGTTTGGGGGTATATCATTCTAAAATCATAATAAGGAGCCCCCCCAACCCTATTCTAATTGTTAAGGATTAGAAGAGGGTTTGGGGGGTGTATATATGTTTAGGGTGTGGGGCTTGGGGGTATATCATTCTATAATCATAATAAGGAGCCCCCCAAAGCCCTATTCTAATTGTTAAGGCCCCTACATTAGGCAGAGTTCAGCTATCTTGCTTTGCCCATGCAGCAGGCTCAACCACGCCTCCCCTCAACCAGAGATTCTGGCTCCCTGTTGGGGCTATATTTAAAATGATCATGTTTAATCCTTTTCGGGTTTTATTATAACAAAAATGTAAAATTGTATCCAACGAGGACCATCGATTCTGAAGCCCCGAAGAAGACCGCTGTCAAGTCACAGCAGTAGCCACGCTTCCCAACAGAGCAAGCGTTGTTGAACACCACCTGGATCCGAAAAGCTTCTCGGCTTTGTGATTTGGACCTTTTCTCAGGTTCAGGGTTTAGGGTTTAGGGTTTAGGGTTTAGGGTTCAGGGTTTAGGGTTTAGGGTTTGTGATTTGGACCGGGGTGGGGGCTTGAGTAAATTGACTTTGGCTTCGTAGCTCATTGCTGCGAGTCAACTGGTCAACCAGACTACTTGGAGGATCATGGGACTTAGTAACTAGGGTTATAAATAAGGTAACTATAAGTATAACCCCAATGAGGGTTATAAGTAGGACCCTACTTGGGGTTATAATTTTAGTTACCTTATCTATAACCCTTTGTAGGTATTAAGTCCCATGATCCTCCAAGTAGTCAGCCCTAAACCCTAAACCCTAAACCCTAAACCCACCCTAAACCCTAAACCCTAAACCCTAAACCTAAACGAGAGCCAGGTCACCGCGAAGCTGATGCCGCTGTCGTGGCCTTTCTCCGTGCAGACCTCCTTTGCCGCATCGCCTGGGCACCCAGAGAGCCCAATACCCTTAAATAAGGAGTATACCTTACCCTAAGCTTCCAGGGACCTCACTATTGGGTCCTTAAGGGGTCTAGGGCCCTAACTATAAGGTCCCCGGAAGCATAGGGTTAAATCATAAGATGAAGGCCCCTATAATTTAAGTTATATCCCGTATTTAAGGGGTATTGGGCTCTCTGGGTACAGACTGCAACTGGAAACAACCAAAACACGTCACGAAACAACACGAATTTGTCTGTCGTATACTTGGAAACCGCGAACCTTTGCCCCAGTATGACGGTTTAGGGTTTAGGGTTTAGGGTTTAGGGTTTAGGGTTTCATGCCGCGGGGCGCATCATCAAAGGGCTTCGCGCGATGTCCTCGCGGGACAGGTCTGGGCTACAGGCGCCTCGATGGCTTTCTGGGCTTTCTGGCCTAGGGACGCCAATCTAAGGGCCTTAGGAGGGGTTTAGGGGTTTAGGGTTTAGGGTTTAGGGTTTAGTCGAAGGGCTTTAGGAAGGACCCTTAATAGGGACCCTTGTAGGTTATTGGGGTGAATATGAAGACTACCTGGCTATATAAGGGGTATATAAGGACTATACAATGGCTATTTAAGGTAATGGGATTAAGGGTCCCTATTAGGGGTCCCTCCTAAAGTCCTTAGAGCCAAGGAAATCCGAAAAAGGAACCGTAACATGGTGTATAACATATTCTAGTATAGTTTAGCAGAATTAGTATGGTAGGTAGTATAGTATAGTATAGTATAGTATAGTATAGTATAGTATAGTATAGTATAGTATAGTATAGTATAGTATAGTATAGTATAGTATAGTATAGTATAGTAGAATCTAGCATAGCTAGTACAGTAGACCTTAGAATCTTAGAATCTAATCTCAATTTCAACGGGCCTGACTCTCCACCACTTCCAGGAGCTTGGAACTGGTCAGCAGCTCACCAGACGGCCTGGGCGAGACCGCGCAAGCGGGTATTCTCAAAGGCTGTCCCCGACTCCACTAATGCAGAAGCCTTTCTAATTAGAACAGGGTTTCGGGGCATATCATACTATAAGTTATAATACGAAACCACCAAAACGGTAGGGATAATTAGCAAGGCCCCTATATTATGATCCCTTTTAAATCGCTCAGTTCCCTCCGGGTTCACGACAACGAGGAAATAAGCTCAGGTATTGTTCACAGGCTTCGAACACAAAACCAAAACCCTAAACCCTAAACCCGAAACGTGCATGGGACGCCCCTGAACGAGCCCTTGCTCTTGCAAGCCCGGTGGCTCGGGACAGTGGCATTCTTGCAAGGATGGGGCCCCCTCCTGCGCCATGGAATGCTGCCCCATAGAGCCCAATACCCCTTAATTAAGGAATGTACCTTAAATCATAATGGTGAGGCCCCCATAATTTAAGGTATATTCCTAAACCCAAAACCCTAAACCCTTATAGATCCCTTTAAGGGCCCCTATAGTTTAAGGTATATTCTCCTTATTTAGGGGGTATTGGGCTCTCTGGGGGGAACTTGCCGGAACCAGTCTGGGCTCCCCACAATACTCAGGGTTTTGTCGGAAAGCCAGGAACATGAACTGGGTTCTTCTCAGAGACTCCAATATCCCTTAATTAAGGAATATACCTTAAATTATAGTAGGATCCCTAATATGATTTAAGGTATATTCCTTAATTAAGGGATATTGGAGCCTCTGGGTTGTTAAGGGATTGAGCTTCAGTTACTACAATAAGCAAACCATATTATTTACTGTAGAACCCTATTATGGTGACTTAAACTAAATCCCTTAACATGAGCCCGGTGAAAGAAGCAAGACCCTGAAACCGTAAACCCTAAACCCTAGACCCCCTAAAGCCTAAACCCTGAACTCTACCCCCTAAACCCTAAACCCNNCCCCCCCCCCCTAAACCTTAAACCCTGTGAGCCCCAAGCCCACTCTGCCATGGGCCAAGAGCAATCTGAAATCCCGGGAGCTCCCCAGGGAGAGCCCAACTTACCCCTTAACTTAGGAAAATATACCTTTAAGGCCCTTTAAGGGATCTATAAGGGTTTAGGGTTTCGGGTTTAGGGTTATCCCCTAAATCATAAGATTAAGGCTCCGATGATTGAAGGTATATATTCCTTATTTTAAAGGGTAAGTTGGGCTCTCTGGGTCCTTCTCAAGCTTGATCCGCTGGATGACCGCCATCCGCGACAGCACCCCTTAGTATAGAGGCCTTATTAATTAGCATAGGTTTTGGGGTCTAGGATTTTTTTGATAGGGGCCTTAATAATTGGAACAGGGTTCCTTTCAAGGGCTGTTAACAAGGGTTTATGAGGGTTACTATAAGGGCTACGATAAAGGTTTAGGGTATAGGGGCCTTAATAATTGGAATAGGGTTTTGGAGCCCAGCATACTTTCATCATAACAAAATTTTCCCCGAAGTAGTATAGGTGGTTGTTTAGGCCCCTACATTAGCTTCTGAGTGGTCTTGTGAGGCTCCCACCGGAGGGCCGCTGGCCCTCAAAGTTTGGATGCTGAAAGGAAGCCAGAGAGCCCAACCTACCCCTTAACTAAGGAATATATACCCTAAATCATAATATTAAATCAAGGCCCCTATAATTCAAGGCATATATACCCTAAATCATATTCCTTATTAAAGGGATAACTTGGGCTCTCTGCGGCTATGAACCGGTGACCTTTCCCTATACTTGGAGCAAGCGAAGGGTTTGCGCTTTGAACTTTTCCCTAAACCCTAAACCCTAAACCTTAAACCCTAAACCCTAAACCCTAAGCCCTAAACCCTAAACCCCAAACCCTAAACCCTAAACTGCATCTTCGACTCTTGGTCGTAATGATATAGGGGCCTTAGTAATTAGAATAGGGTGTTGGGGTTTCCTTTAAAGGGTTCTGCAAGGGCTACTATAAGGGTTTAGGGTTTAGGGGCCTTAGTAATTGGAATAGGGTGTTGGGGTCCACTATACCATAATAATAATGAGGAACCCCCCCCAAAATAAACAAAGTAGTTGTTGAGGCCCCTGTAGTATGTCGGGCCTGCCGAAGTGGCGCGCACCTGCTTCTATCCCGTGATCTCGAAGCACGGGCTCTACAGACCATGCGGAGAGCCGGAAAGCTTAAACCTGCCCAGAGAGCCCAATACCTCTTAAAAAGGGAATATACCTTAAATTATAGGGCCTTAATAATATGATTTAAGGTATATTCCTTATTTAAGGGGTATTGGGCTCTTTGGGTTCGATGTGTCGTGTAGGGTTCGGAGCAAAACCCAAAGCTCTCCGTTCCGTGAGTCAGCAAAGCTCTTAGTCGCCCACAATACCGCACTGAGTGCCCTAAAACCATAAACCGTAAAGCAGTGACTTCTATATATATGTATACATATATATATATATATGTGGCATGGACCTTTATGTATAGTTTGTCGATCTCTTTTGTTTTAAATACAAATACCT